TTGACAGATGCATTTAGGAACCATCAATTAAGCTTGGCATTCATTAGGTGGGGAGAAGCCCAATCAGATTTCACTGACTCAACAAAGCCTCCTATAAATTGTAGGCTGTTTGTTCTGACGTTTGATAAATTATTCTTCATAATCCACTGTCTGCTGCGATAAATCTAATCTTTCAGTTTTTGCTGTCTTAATAATTCTTGGAGCAACGCTGTCACATTTTGTTTTCATAGAGGGGATAGAGAGGCTGGGGCAGTAGGAAAAAAAACAGCCCTCATCTGCTGTCTGAGAAATAGCTTACTCTACCCAGTGTAGCATTTTCTCATGCCTAGAACTAGGTTTTTCACTCTTGCAGGGGTCAGTGGTTTTTTGGTGCCATGGACAGTTAGGTCTACGTTCTTGAAAAGGTGACCAGTAAGCAGGTAGGTTCACATCCCTTGGACCTGATTCAGGAAAGGCATCCAGACTTTTGAAAGCAGTAGGGTTGCATTATCAGTAAGGAGAATTCTAGAAGTTCTAGGAGCCATAATTCTTAGAAATGCTGTGTCAGGCCTAGAGCTGAATAACTCTTTGGCTACTCTGCCATGAGAGAGCAGGGCGACCCTGTGCTAAGCTATGTGAAGATGACAGCTGCAGTGCCCAAAACTTCCCTGGGAAACTTGCTCCTGTTCCCACGTGTGGTTCTGTCGCGCAAATCTCATTATCACTGTGCTCCACACTGTCCCATCTGGGAGGCTGCAGACTGCACAGTCTTTGTGTAAATCTCAGAAGGCTCCTGCAGTCTGAGCTTGCTCACCTTAGCAAATTGCCATCCATGGAGCTGTGATTTAGAAGGGAGTGTTCAGTGCCATAGAAAGGCTATAAAGACAGGGCTGGCATACAATTGAGCTTTACCTGATACGATCTTCCACCTTTCATAATCTGATGGCTAGCTATTTCTTGGGTCAGAGGTTGTATCTTCATGTTTAGTAACTTGTGCTGGATTTTCTACACTGGCTAATCTACCTGCCAGGAATTTTGGAATTTGTAACTCCCTGTGGCAATGAGTTCCATGGCTTATTTCAGCAATATGGGGAAAAATACATTTTTTTTTTTTTTTTCCTTGTTTTTAACGGTGCTGTCAGCTAATCTTGTGTGTTAATGGACAATTTGCTGCTCCTGAATTTTTCTGCAGAACGAATGAACAGTGCCAATCCCATTTTCTGTGACTGAAGTTCTCTGTGACGTTCCCTCCCTGTTGTCTCTTTCCACACTGAATGGCCCTTTGAGGGGAAAAAAAAACATAAATTGAAGACAGTCTTGAAATGCTTTGGTGAAGAGCTCCCTTTCCCATGGAAATACTGAGCATTTGGAGGTCTCCTGAGTTACCCACCTGTACCATACTGGTTTGGCTCTGGCAGAGCTTGGGAAAGTTTTTCTATAAATAGATGTGAAAAGCCAGAATTCTCAGTGCTGGGTCAGGAGGGGGTTCCATCACTTAGATCCTGCTCAAGGGGATAGCTTGTTGGCAGCCCTTCTGGAGTGTGAAGTATACCTCAGCGTTGAGTGGGCAGGTTGGAGCCTGGAAGCAGTATTTGACCATTTACTGCAGCACATGGATATAAAAAGGTTGGGATTAAGAAGCAATGTACTTCAAAAGAAAATTAGCTAGCAAGACGTGCATTTAATGTTTATGGTTTGAAGATTAAGACACTGGGCTGTAACTCAGGATATCTGGTTTAAATCCCAGCTCTGCCAAAGACTTCTCAGAAAATGCTGGGCAGGTCATGTAAGGCAATGCTTTCAGAAAAGACTTAGGATTTAGCATCTTAAATCCAATTGACTTCCAGTAATTTCCTAAGTGTTTAAGGACAAGATTCACAAAAAACACTGAGGCATTCTGTTGCTCAACATTGCAGCATCAGCTGACGTGTGCCATGGAACTCAAACAGAGCGGTGTGTGCTTTGGGAAGATGCTTCAGTGCATGAGGAGAATTGTGGGCAACAACCTGGGACAACTAGAACGTGAGAGCTTGTGCGGGGCTTGCATGGCTCTGCACCTTGTACAATAGCACTCTGGGCTTAACAACAGTGCTTAGGTGCAACCTCAGCACAAATGCATGCTAAGAAGTGTCTGAGTAGATGGATCCTGCAAGAGCTTTTATATCAGCTCCCTAAGGTGTGAATACTAATACCAACGATCATGAAAAGATTTTGCATATTTTAAACAAGCTTCATTCTTTAGAATTAAGCAGCCAGGGCTGTTTCCGACCAGTGAAGTACAGTGACATATTCATTTGCTGGTTGAGCACGTGCCCAGTGTGGAGCGGGATGTGCAGAAAACTAATGAGGGAAACCATTGTGTGTAGGGATGCTGCACACCTGTGCAGCTGGTTGTCATGCTCATTTGGAAGAACACTGGTAAAGTTTCTATTCTCTCTTTTAAACCTTTATTAAACCTGTCTGGAAATTATGCTTGTTTAATCTCCTGCTAGGATTGCAGATTGTTACAACTAGTTTGATAAAGCCCTTTGAGATGAGCTGTGGCCTGGAAGAAAAATTCTTTAAGTACCACATCAGGTGAGCTTCAAAACTCCCCCAGACCTTTGCTTGCTAATTAGCCACCGTGGAAATGGTGGGTAGAATTTTTTGTAAGGGTCACTGGGTACTCGTGAGCAGTAAGAGCATACAGCCTGCTCCAAGAACTGGGTGCACCCATTCTCTTGGGAAGGACCTCTGTGACAGGCACTGTAGGAGCCTGGCTCCCCCCTTTTCTGCCTCCATAGCATGCAGCCTCATACTCACTTTTGCCTCTCTGGGACGTGCAGCCCACTTCAGAGGCGCTAGTTGCCTCCAGCACGCTGCAAAAGGACAATTTCATAATGAATGAGGGCAATTTGCTAAGTGGGGTCCTGGAGCCCTGCTGTAATTTTGCTGCTGCTTTATCTCAGTCTCACACCTGCTCATGTAATGGTCTGGCTGTGATCTGCTCCCTCCCTCATGTGCATGCGTTCCTCTTCTGCTCCTATAGGAGCCATCAATTCTCTGACCCCATTGTGGTCCCTCCCCTTGGTGCCTTGGCATGGAGCCTGCAGGCAAGCACAGATTTCCCCTTGAACTGCAGCAGGGCTGCTGGGCTGGCTCTAGTGGACAGGAATGCTAACCTGGCTTTCTTGTCCTTAATAAAAAGATTTTAAATGAAATCCTTCTGCCCGAAAGAATTTCTTGAGACAGCTTTCTTCAAATGATATTTCCTTGGAAAACTTGGTCACATGAGAATATTGTATATATTATTCCTACCAGAAGGAATATGTGCAGCTTTTTTTTCCCCCCCGCACACATTCAGTAGTGGTGAAAATGATTGGATTGACAGTGTAGGCAATTAAAAGTTTTTGAGATCCAGAGCAGCTGGAATTTTATGCAGTTCATATGCAGTTTTGCTAAAAATGTACCTTACAATGGATTCAGGCCATTGCACTCCCAGTTCTGTGCTTTAACCTCTTAGAGGATCTTACTGTCTTTGTGACAGGTGGACTGGTAATGTTGTCTGGGATCCTGTAAAGGGTATTTTCCTTTAATGTGAGGATGTGGTGTAGTAGAAGAGGTGAAGAAAGTCCCAGCTTGACCTCAGGTAGCAAATTCTCTGTTGGTGTTTTTTCTTTCCTTAAGAATATCGTAGTATCCAATGTGTTCCTCCTGGCACCTTAAGTCTCTTCTTAACGGGCTCCCTCTTCATCTGATAGACAAACCACACAAAGGTAGAAATCTGTCTCTCAACACATCCCTTGAGCCATCTGTCATCCTGTAGGTGTTTCTTTCTTTATACTAATCTGAAATGAGAATCTCAAAATCCAGTGAAGTGAGAGAGAAAAGAAAGGGAGGAGGAAGAGAAAAAAACGTTTTTTCTCACGAGACAGGAATGTCAATAGGTTTGAATTATGGACCTGCTGTAATTAAAAAACACATAACTAGTTGTTTTTAAATGCAGTTGTTTTACTTAATTGATTTTGCTGCCAGGACCAAACAGAATTAAATAAATAAATAAGACACCTTCCTCGTGAATTGCTGGAGGCAGCTGAGCCACTGTTGGAATCTAATTGCTGCAAACGCTCCAGTTTGTTGCGACCAATAGATTTCTGTGGAAGGGGTTGGGAGGGAAGGGGGTAGGGTGCTGTAGGAGGGGGCTCATTCCCTGGCAGCTGCAGAAGGGAACAAGCTGCTCCTCGTATAGTATTTTTTTCTCCTTGTCAGCAAAAAGAATATTCGTTTAACACTTTGCATGAAGACTTCGCTTAGAAAGTCTTTATTCATACTTAATTACTAGCTCACTGCAGCTTCCATCTTTAATTACCTTTTAAAAAGCAGGTTATAAAAATGCACTGATGTTCTTTGTCTTTTTTTTTTTTTTTTGGCTGCATAAATTACAGGTTTCTCAACTGTTCACTCAACATCAGTCCAGCCCAGGCAAAGGGTGGGAAGTGTTCCCTTTGCTGACTCTTAGGGATATCTTAGAGCTTGTGTGTATCTTGCTCTGCAGAGCAGGACAAAAATTCCTGATCAGCGTTACACAAACTAGCACAAGCATAACCATGTTGGCACCCCTTTTTAGGGGAGCAGAGGAGCCTGCCTAGTTTGCCAGGATGATATCATGCTACTGTGCTAATAGTGGCTACAGCACCCCTCAATAGCCAAGGATGCCGACCATAATTTCTCCAAATTGTTTTCAAGACAGCTTGCAGTGGTCCCTCTCCTGGTGCCTTGGCCGTTCCACGTCCTAGATGAAATGTGCTGCTGACACTCTGACATAGGTTTCCATAAACAGACCGCTTCTAAGAACACTTCCTTGCTGGGCAGGCTTCATTGGGAGGCCAAGCAATGAAAAGGGTAGGCAGAGGACATAGAAATGATGAAAGAACTGAGACTGCACAGATTTGGTGCATACTGCCTCTGACCAGTGGTCAAGGCTTTCCTTATGGGTGGTTTCTGGCACCCCAAGCTGATGCCTCTTTCCCTTTTCCTGACAGGTAAAAGAACTCTTTGTGAGTTTTGAGGACACACCTTTGGGAGCAGCATCACTAGCCCAGGTGCACAAGGCAGTGCTGCAGGACGGGAGAACGGTGGCAGTAAAAATCCAGCACCCAAAGGTCCAAGCTCAGAGCTCCAAGGATATTTTCCTCATGGAGGTAAAGCTGCCTGGTGACTTTGACAGTTGTAATGCAAATGACAAGGAGTGAGCAGGTATAACATTAATCAGTTCTGTAGCTTTGGAACTTCCACAGACATAAATGCTGTCATACAGGCATAACACAGGAAGTTGGTGAAGATTGCTGTGAGGATGGTTGTGTGAATGGAAGGACTGAACAAGAGGGTGAGAGTGAAAAAGGGGAGAGAAGGACAGACAGGTAAAACATGAATCACAGCTGATCAAGTCCTTATGAGTTGAAGATTAGAGAGACTTCCATGTTTACTCTTACGTCTGTGTGCCCATTACCTTGTTGATTATACTGGTTGCAGTTCCCCTTGCATTCTGGTCTGTGTAACCGAAGAGTAATAATTCACCAACGTCAGTGTGTTTTTTTTGGTTAAGGCTGCTGTGATTCAGTTCTATTTCTTGATTGGCACCTTAATGCTGACCTGATTCATGGTGGAAATAAGAACATTGAAATATGGAGAGTGTAACGTAACAGGAACAGATGCACAAAGGAGGGGTTCAGCTAGGAACAAGTTTCTCTCCTGAATGGTAGGCACTGCTTGTGCTCCCAGTGCAGTGCTGTGGCTTCTCTCAATCTCCTGAAGTCTAGTCCACTGAAGAGAGAAACTGGAGAAAAGCTGTGGTACTGTGCTTGCATTGTAATAATCAGAGATGCCAGTGGTATGGTACAGAAATGGAAGTGAGGCTCAGATGGAGGAGAGATGAAAGGTTAGATCTGTAAGTGCTAGTACTAATGCTTTTAGCTCTCCAGTAGGTACATATCTGTACGTATAGCAGAAATGCACAGTAATACATCTATTAGTAGACATTATGTTCTTGGGACTAAAGAGAAGTTGAAGCTCAGGAAGCCTGCCTGAGTTTTGAGGACACTGCTGATGCAGTGACACACTTCTCCATCACAGCAGATCAGGAAACAAAGATCCAGCGCCCTTTCACAGGGCAGTGCGTAACTAAAACTTTTTAAACCAGTAAAACACTGCTCTGAGCAATCTTGGTAGTCTGCAAACCAACACAGCTGGTTCCAGTTAGAGCACATCAAATTGTAGCATCATTTATTTTGAATTACTAGTAGCATAAATTTTGGAGATCGATAAATATATATTCTGTTAATATGGAATATGTTTGATTCTGGACTTGTTTAAGAACAGAGAACAGTTTGGCACCAAAGCCAGTTCAGTTGTAGTTTTGGATTTGATCCAGATTTTCTTCAGGACTGACTGCAGTAGTCTGCCCCATGACTTTGCTTTTGTGAGTTGTCATTTGGCATCCTTCATTCCTGCTCAGGACAGCATGGCAGAAACTGAGCAGTCAAGACTGAACAAGATGAAGAAGGACTGTGAGATCAGCACAGTAAGAGAATTGTGTATGAATGAGTCAAGACCTAGATTCACCTTCAGCCATTTGTGCTGTAAACAGTGGACACCACAGAAAAAAAATCCCCCCTCACCTTATGACACTGTGATTGGTAATTATGCTGTTAAGAGAGATTCAGACAAATAATTTAATGATTTTTTTTTTCCTCTTTTTGGACTAATCCTCCTTGGAAATGTAAAACTAAAGCAGTGTGCATCCTTTTGTCAGTTTGGTATTGTCTTTTCTGCAGACAATCTAGTTTGTCATACTGGAGCTCCATTATGTGCACGCATTTTTGGGAAAATACCTTGCAACGTGATGCATTTGGTCTTTTTTTAATGGTCCTTCACTGGAGTGTTGGTTTAAATATGCATCATCATATCCTTGCATGGAACTGTGTTTGACAAGGCTGCATTTAAAGCTGGGTTATATCCACCGAGGTTCTGGTCCTTTAAGAATCAGACAGCCACTGCAGTTAGATAGGAGGTTAATTTAAATGTTGTTGGAGACAGTCTTCTTTAGAGACTGATGGAAAAAAATCTGAATATAGATGGAAAATTCCTGAATCCACTTGTGATTTCGTAACATAATTTTCTGACTCTTTAAAAATCAGGACACCATCTGATAAATCCAGGGAGAGATCCCTCTGCTCTTATGTCAATTCTTATTTCAGGACAATGTGTTAGACAGATGTCAGAAAAGTGACAAGCCAAATATTTTCAAGTATGTCACTGCTGATGGTCAAGTTGGCAAATTGGTTCTAAAGAGCATTCAAAGGAAGCAGAAACAATGTCTGAATTTTCTCACATCAAGCATCAATAGCTCCTATAAAGTTTATGTACATGTTCATGAAGATTGTTGGTTACATTTCATTTGGATGACATAAATTTGTAAGGATTTGTGGGTTTAGATATAACAGTAAAAATCATTCAGTAGTGTCTGGAACCTGGTGATTACATTTTAAAGGAACATTGAGTTTGGAACTGACATTTAGATAAGAGAAGTAGAGAGAGAGGTGGAGAATAAATGTTTTCACATAGCTGAACAGTGGCAGTGATGGTTCACAAATTTATTTTTTGTCATACGTTTCAATGATAACAGCTTTCTGTGCTTGTTTTAATGTTCCTCCTGCAGTACAGGAATCCCCACCTTGTTGGTGGAGATCTAAGAAAGAAAACTGTCCGGGAACACAATGGCATATTTGTTTTCATTTTCAGATGATGTACAGAACAAGTAAGATAAAGTTTGTGAATTAAGTTTTATTTTTGTTTCATGACTCAGTAGTTAAAAAATATATATATTTCTTCCTTAATGTGTGCTCCAAATTGTCAGCTTTTATATATTTGTGACACTGGCTGAGAAACTGGCCCTTCATCTGAATAGAAAGCATTCTTGGCTGCTGTGCAGCTTTGGTTTTGCCATCCAGACACATAGTCTTGGATAGGCTTCAGGAAGGAGTGCCTTTCACTGGCTCCTTTAGTACATGTTGCTCTAAACAAAGATTTCCAGAATCATTTCAGTAGATATTTTCAAAGCCATGTGAAGCTGCCTAGTTTCCTTAAGAAGAGGACGCTCCCTCAGAGTTGCTGTCACTGACACTGAGAGGCAACTCGCTCCTCGCCAAAAGTTTGTTTAAAGACATGTTGCTTACTCCCTGTATCTGAATTCCACTGTTTTCTTTGAATTGCCTGATGGATTTTCTGAATTAGCAAAATTTTTGTTTGGTAGTGGAAGAAGTAACACAGAGGTGATAAATCTTATTCTAGATTCCAATTTTTCTATTCCAGTGAAGCCAAACCATGACTTATGGAATTAAAAGAGTTAAAGACTCAACAGAAAGTAATTGCTGGGCTATTCTCTTGGAAAGATCTGTCTTGTCCTCTCATCTCCAGGGCTTTGGTCACTCAGTTTTAGGCAGCAGGCAGTTGGGTTCCGGCTGCTACTCTTTTGTGTCCTATTATTTCACTCCTGGATGTGTCTGTGTGGAAGGCCAAGCCAAAATTTGTGTTGCAGAATCAAGGCATGAAGCCATATACTGTATTATGATGCTGCAGAAATCCTACAAGTACTTAAGGTGGATTTTAAAATTTTTATATGTTTAAGTTACATGGAATAATCCTGTCAAAACAGCATCTGCTTTGTGTAGCTGCCAGCGCAGCACTGTGGTAGCTGTGTGGCTTTGGAGCTGGAGTGTGGCTGACTGTCTGTTTCATTGTTCTCAGGTTCTTCTCTTGATTGTGAAGCACATCTTTCCAGATTTTGAGTTCATGTGGCTGGTGGAAGAAGCAAAAAAGAATCTGCCTTTGGAATTGGATTTTCTCAATGAGGGCAGAAATGCTGAAAGGGTTGCTCAGATGCTCAAGAACTTTGACTTCCTCAAGGTGAGGGAATACATGTTCCCATGTATGTATGTGCATTGGTAGTCTCACTTTATGGTTCTCACGCAACTCATTTGTCACCTGGAAGAACTATATGGAGGGAGAGTGGTGGTCAGTCCTTTTGTGTTCTTAGATTACTCTGCTGACCACAAAACTAGAATGAGGCTGAGGATGTCAAGAAGGGTTTGGTGTACTGTGTGTATATTTCAGGAGGAAACATGTCTGCATATATCTTTCCTCCTTTAAGACAGTATATTCTTTCTCTGAAGTAAGCATACGTTGTCCTTACACATCCATGGCTAATGCACTCATGTTACCTTCATACACAAACAGCTGCACCCATACAGTGTTTCTCCTCGCTGATACACATATGCCACCTCTCCTGCCACACACTGACAGAGGTCACTGACAAATGTTTCAAGTACAACCAGATATGCACTCATCTCCCTGTCTGCAGACGTGCTCATATCTTCATACTTGCGTATGAGCATCTTTTTGCTGACGCATATGAGGCACAGGCTTCTGCTGTGTGCATTCTGGAAATACCCAGGTATGCTCAAGCGCTTGTAGACCTGTGGCCACAGTCACTGACATAACTGCATTTGCACATATCCAGTGACAGCAAAAAACACCTGTTCCTTTGGACCCTCCTGCATACAGATATCAACACAAGATTTTGATCTCCTGTTTATGCAGAAGTCCCAAGATGGAAGTGATAGATGTCTGAAGTGAATTGAGTTTTTGTTAGACTTTACACGCCTATGTGTCCATTTTCTCCTTGCTTCCTCCGTGCAAAGGCTACAATTCCTTGTCACCAAGTTTGAGGCAGGCCTTTTGAAGCTCAGTGGCAGCAACTGGCCTTTTTGTAAACACAGCTAAAAGCCACCAGGGTTACAGAAGGCCAAAGGCGAATGATTTTGCTGGGTGGGCACTTATCAGAAGGGCTGTACCTTGGTGAGCTGTATCCGTTGCAGCTGTAACTAGGCGACTGTGAAGTAAATCCCCATGGAGACGGCCAATCGCTTTCTTGCTGGGTTAAGGAGCTATCATGATATCAACATGTGTAACAAATGGCTTGAGATGACTAAATAATGGATCCTGCTGTCTGACCTGCCAATTCAGAGACGTGTTCATCACCCGAAGGCAACAGAAGAATTGGGCTCTTGTATCATTAATTTTCCTAAACACGCAAGAAAGCCAAGAAGTGGATTTTGTGCTGTGAACCTGGTTGAGCTTTTAAAGCCAGAGATAAATTGTTTCCATGCACTAGCATTACACCCAAGCATCTGTGAGTAATTAAAAAAGTCACTGAAGAATTCATGTATGAGTGAGAGAAGTATTTCCAAGAACTTAGATTGTTCTTTGTAAGCCCTTTGACTTGCCCCTGTAAATCTTGAGACAAGAATGAGTGTCGTCTGAAATGATCTGAGGCAGTGAGGATCCGTGTCTAGGAGGCAGACCACAGCAGCTAGAGGGACTCTGGGGGGTTTCTTGTTTTGGAGTTTGTTTGCTTTCTCATGAATATAACTCTTCAAAGAGTGAACATCCAGATAAGCTGGGAAGATTGCTGTATGGGACTTGTGTGGCAGGATTTTGGTATGATGAGAGCTGCAGGGGTAGCCTTTGTGAGTAGAGCCCAGCAACTGACCCATGTCAGATAAAAGGGAACAACTGCTGCACCACAGAAGTGGGGGGAGAGAGAAGTGAGAAACAGATGAGCAGCCCTTGCAGCTACTAAGGTTAGTGAAGGAGTGAAGGTTGTGCTCCAGACACAGAGCAGAATTTCCCCTGCAGCAGTGGGAAGGAGCTCCTCATAGAGCAGGTGAATGTGGTCTGACAGAGGCTGACTGTAATCCTCATTCTCTGTATTCTGGCACCACTAGGGAGGAGGAGAAAGGATGAGGTCTCCCCTGAGCCTCCTCTTCTCCAGACTGAACAATCCCAGCTCCCCCTCAGCCGCTCCTCATAAGACTTGAGCTCCAGACCCCTCACCAGTTTCGTTGCCCTTCTCTGGACACGCTCCAGGGCCTCAACGTCTTTCTTGTAGTGAGGGGCCCAAAACTGAACACAATACTCGAGGTGCGGCCTCACCAGTGCTGAGTACAGGGGGACTATTACCTCCCTGCTCCTGCTGGCCACAGTATTTCTAATGCAGGCAAGAAGAGGATGGATGGTGATGGAAGGTGTTTCTGTAGAATCATGGAATCAAAAAAGTGTTTGAGTGAGAAAGGACCTTAAAGATAATCTAGTTCCAGCTCCCCTGCCACTGTCAGAGACACTGCTCAGTAGATCAGGTTTCTTAAAGCCTCGTCCAACTCGAACTTGAACATTTGCAGGGATGGAACAACAACTTTTTTGAGCAACTTGTTCCAGTGTCTCAGGACCCTCTTAGTGAATTATTTCTTCCTAGTATCTAATTTAAACCTACCTTCTTTTAGTTTAAAACAATTGGCCTGTTTACTATAGCTACATTTCCTCATTAAGGAAGCCCCTCTCCATCTTTCTTGCTGGTCTCCTTTTAGGTTCTTACAGGTGGCAGTGGGTTCTCCCTAGAACCCTTTCTTCTACAGTCTGAACAATGTCAACTCGCAGCCTTTTCTTAATAGGAGAGATGCTCCAACCCTCTTGTGCCTGTCCTTGAGCTCGTTGTGGCCTTTCTCTAGACGCACTCCATGTACTTCTTACATTGTGGATTCCAGAACTGAACATCGTACTCTAGATGGGGTCTCATGAAACCATTTTGGTTTTTGTTTCTCACTGTTCTAGTCCCAGAATCATAGAATGGCTTAAGTTGGAGGGCATTTTAAAGATCGTCTATGTTCAATTCCCTTGCCAGGGTTAGGGTTGCCAGCCACTAAACCAGGCTGCCCAATAGCTCATCCAGCCTGGCCTTGAATGCTTCAAGGGATAGGGCATTCACCACTTCTGTGAGCGGCCTGTTCCAGCGCATCACCACTCTCTGATTAAAGGATTTATTTCTGACATCTAACCTCAATATCCCCTCTTTAATTTTAAAGCTGTTCCCCCTTGTCCTGTTACTATTTACTCATGTAAAAAGCTGATTTCCCTCCTACTTACAATCACCCTTTAAATACTGGGAGACTCCTGTGAAGACTCCCCCGAAGTCTTCTGTAAGCTAAGCATGCCCAACTCCCTCAATTTTTATTCATAGGAGAGGTGTTTCCAGCCCTTTGATCATCTTCATGGATCTCCTCTGGACCCTCTTCAACAACTGCATCCTTCTTATGCTGGTGTCCCTGGGGTTGGACATAGTACTCCAGATGGGGCCTTACAGAGGCAGAGCAGAGGCAATAATCTCCTCCTTCCTGCTGGTCACTGCTCTTTTCACAGAATCATGGAATGGTTTGGGTTGGAAGGGGCCTTTAAGATCATCTATTTTCAACCCCTTTATTATAGGCAAGGACACTTCCCTGTAGACGATGTTGCTCAAAGCCCTATCCAGCCTAGCCTTGAGTGCTTCCATAGAGGGTCATCCACAACCTCACTGGGCAACTGACAGTGTTTTGATGGAGCCCAGGGTACCGTTGACCTCGTAGGCCAGAAGACAGCACTGGTGGCCCATGTCCAGCTTTTCATCCATCAGGACTCCCCAAATTCTTCTCCACAGAGGAGTTCTTCCCCTGATCTGTACTCATATCTGAGATTGCCTTGAGAAAAATGCAGCATGTTGCACTTGGCCTTGTTAAACCTGATTAGATTCTGTCATGGTTTTATGATTGTTATTGGTATATCACATCATAACATCATACAGTGCACTGGGAGTTAAAGAGTTAATGTTCCAGTTCCATGGTTTCTGAGCATGTCCAGCTCCCTCTGGTTGGTGTCCCTCCCTTCTATTGTGTCAACTGCACCATTCAGCTTGGGTCATCAGTAACCATGCTATGGGCACACTTGATCCCACTATGTTACTGATAAAGATATTGAAGAGCACTAGGAGATAGCACCTGTGTCTGGTCTCTACCTGGATATAGAGTTGTTGATAGTAGAGAGCAATGTGGTGGAGCATAGCTGTATATTAATGTGAAACCACCACAAGTGCAGGTAACTGAATCCCTGTTGAATAGGGAAAAATATCCTGTTGATAAGGGAAAATCCCTTAGCATCCAAGTGTATGTGAGGTTAACATGCAAGGTGTCCTAGGAGTGTTGAGCAGCAAGATTGAGAGCTATTGAAATTGCTCAGCAAAGGACTCTTTGGTCTGGCCTCACGTATGTGGTAATGTAGAATCGGCTCATTGGATAAATGAGCTCTCTAGAATAGGAACAGTGCAGGAGGCAGGTAGTTTTGTGGAATTGTGAGGGACTGAGCCATTGTCAGTAGTTACAAGCAGAGTATAAAACAACCACTGTTTGTTCAAGAGTTCTGATAAGCTAAAAGCAGCTTGGCTGGTTACTTCGGTTTAGATTTAATTAGATGGATAACAATTCTTATCTTTTCCTGCCCTACCCCAGTTGGTGGACATTTGAAGTGTGTGAATTTAAGTCCACATCTGAGTTGTGAATAAGGATAGGAAGCTGCATGGGTGTCTTTCTCTTTGCAGAGTCCAAAATATGTATCTGTTTTAACTGTATCCTAGGCTGCGTTGATAGATGCATGGGCAGCAGGTCAAGGCAGGTGATCCTGCCTCTACTCTGCACTGGTGAGAAGTCACCTGGAGTACTGCATCCAGATGTGGAATCCTCAGTACAAGAAAGATGTGGACCAGCTAGAGCATATCCAGTGCAGGGCCACAAAAATGACTCGGGGTGGAACACCTCCTCTACAAGGACAATGCTGGGAGAGCTGGGACTGTTCAGTGTGGGAAAGAAAAGGCTCTGGGGAGACCTGAGAGCAGCCTTTCAGTATCTAAACAGAGGCTTTTAAGGGGGCAAGCTCTTCAGCAGGGTTTATTGTGACAGGATAAGTGGAAATCATTTCAATCTAAAAGTGGTTATATAAAGAAAATATTTTTTATGCTAAGGGTAGTGAAGCACTGGAACAAGTTACCCAGAGAGGTGGTGGATACCCCATTCCTGGAGGCATTCAGGGACAGGATGAACAGGTTTCTGAACAACCTGATCACGCTGTAGGTGTCCCTGTTTGTTGCAGAGGAATTAGACTAGATGACCTTTAAAGGCCCCTTCCAACTCAAATCTATGATTCTATGAACTGGGGTACAGTAGTGGGAATAGATGGAGCTCTCTTATGTCCTTGGTAGAATGTACCCCTCTCATTTCTCCTACATATGAAGATAAATATGGACAGCTTGAGACACTGAAGAGCAACAGTGTGAGGAGTGTCCAAAGGGAACTTCAGTAATATCAGTCTTTTGACAGTGGAAGCTTCAGCACAGAAAGAATTTCTCATAGAGACTGGAAATGGGGGAGCCTGCCTGAGCTAAGACTTCTGTTATACTGCGTCACTGCATCCCTGTGTGATACAGCGCCTCTTCCTTAGACCTAACTCAGCTTGATTTACTGCGGATTGAATGAAAAATGCTTTGACATTTTACACTCATTGCTGTGTCACATTGGCAATTAGATAGTTAAGGGTATCCCAGGGTTTCTATGACATGCCTTTTATTTGTGACACTTGATTTTTCTCCTAGTTTGATTGCAGATGGCCTAAATACGTGGGGTTTGTCAGCTCAAATGCGTTTGTGTTTCAAGGAGCACTACTGAGAAGCAATTTATGATGATGTCTTATCATTTCTAGAACTGTGTAAGTGGGCCCTGTGTGTAGCGAAGGAGATCTATTTCCTGTCTAAAGGCACCAAGTGAATGATTCAGAGACTTGTAGTTAGTACTGAGCAAGTCAGTTTTAGGAGCTGTGAAGCAGATACGGAAGAGATATCAGACAATAGTGGGAGTGGGAAGAGGTCAAAATCTCATAGAGCAGTGCCTGAAATGTTCCAGAAGCACAGACTCTTCTACTGTTGTATTGGTGTGTTGTTTTGCAGTGTATTGTCCCAGGAAGCGACCTGCAGTGCCGTTAGATGGATTTACCTCTGTTGTGCTTGGGGAGAAAAGAAGTCCTTATTTCAACCTCTTGCTTTTTTTGTTCCTTTTCTGAACTGTGATATGTTCTCCTTCCTTTCCCCAGCCTGTTGTTTGACCAAAGCCATCTATTCCCTTTTCAGGTCCCCAGAATCTATTGGGAGTTCTCAACAAGGCGTGTTCTTCTCATGGAATTCATGGAAGGGGGACAGGTGAACGACAAGGCATACATGGAGAAGAATGGCATTGATGTCAATGAGGTATTTTCTCAGCCGCCTCTGAACTGGGCATGTGAGCAATGTTAGAACAAGGCTGATAGGACAGGAAGGGCAGAAAAGGGAGCATATATTTGTATGAAGAGAGTAATCAATCTGAAAGATCTTAGTTCTTTTGCTTTTGGGAATGTATACAATCCCTTTTGGGAACACTCTTCTGTAGGACTGTACAGCTAGAGATCTTCAGAGTGATAACCATACTTTTATACTGTGCACACCAATGTTTTGTTTCAATGTGACAGTCTGTGTTATCCTAGTAGAACTGCTTCAGCTTCAGATCTTTTTGTCTCTTTTCTTCCTCTATCTTTCTTCAGGATTAACTTTCTCTTGGGCAAATGCATGGGGTGTAGCTTTTGTAACCCATTAGGAGGCACAGATTATAGGCCTTGTATGATCATAGTTACTGGAGTGGCTTGACCCATGGTGTTTTGCATAATATTCTTGGATTGTTCAATTCTGATTTCCAAAATCTTTCTTTTGAATGTAACTCAATAGTTTTCTTCTTTGTTTCTTGCTCCAATACTACTGTGTAATTTTCTTGTCCCTCATTAAACAACTGCTAGATTTCATCCCTGGGGAAGCCACATTTCTCTGATGGATAAGATAATTTGTGTGCCATGAAGCTGGAAGATTTGGATTCTTTGTGGCTAAGAGATTCTTGAGGAAACAAGGCATTACTTACAAGAAAGCTAAGGTGCCTGAGGAAAGAGTTTTGGGCCATTCAACAATGTGGAAAACCAGCCCTCTTGGTCTGTGAATGCTGACTGAGGCGGTGCTTTTTGCCTTTCTCATTGTGCCCTGTTTGTGAACCTCAAAGCCACACTTGGTTGATTCGCTATTAAAGCTAGCAAAATCAATTGTACTTAATCTGTCCATCCACTTAATTCTCACTTCTGAATGCTTCCTCTCTCTCTTTACTCTTCTTCCTTTCTGCTTCTTCTTTCTATCTATAAGAAAGTTCTTGTGATGTTGGTTAAGATATACCAGGGGTGTTTCAGGGGAAGGGAAAAGTGAGTTTGGTATGCCTCACAAAGAGAGAATGTTGTATGTATCTTCTCAGCTGCTTCCCTAAGTCACCATGATAACAGAAAAATGTCTGATGGAGGACTAAACAACCTGCCTTTTTCTCTGGATAGAACACTTCTTTCTCTGCTCTTGCACCCAGCAGAAGCCAATAAAATATTTTCTAGTAACTGCTGCAGGCAAAAGACAGGCACCTTTTCTTGTTTCACCACTGAAATACGGGAAAGAAAATTCAAAGGTTAAAATAGATTTTGAGTCTCTTTCCATTCTAATAATGATGAACAAGTCAAGGTCAATGGGCAGGAGTGAATGACTTCTCTGAAAGATGTCTGATCAATTTTTATTAAAGAGGCTTCTTGAATAACTTCCTTGTATATAATGCAGTCTGTCTTCTTTCACATCTCCATCAGGAAGCATTTGGAGCATTTTGGTCATTAGTTTTTCTCCTCACTCCCATCAGGGAGTCAGAGAAATGATTGTCAGCTGATCAGAGGTAGACACAATTCTGTGTCTATTTTGTGCTGATTATCTTCCTTTATATTTACCAAGGTAGGTTCCTGCATGATGCGTCATTGTGTGACTCAGAACATGATAGCTGGTGGACTTCTCTGTCATTTGAAATTTAAAAAGCCTAGTTAGACTTCAGAACAACCAGTCAGCTCCATTCTCCCAGACAAAACAACTGGTCAAAAGTGAGTTGTTTCTTTGAGCAAATATATCTTACATAAGCCCTTTTCTGCTATATGAGCAAAGGTCAAATCTAGTCCGCAGCACTTAGATACAAGACTAAATATTTCTCAAATCCAGCCTTGAAATAGTCAGGCTCATTTTGATGCCTTAGCAGGAGGACTCTTGAACGATATTTACATGCACATTTTGGGCAGGGCTTCCTCAGAGTTCTTGGACAGAAGAGCTATTCTGAGACTGAGGTAACCTGCCCAGCTGATCTGCTTGACACTTCGGTTGTTTGCTACCTCCAGCAGTTTGAGAATTCAAAGTTGTATGGAGAAGCCCAGGGAAGTGCATTCTTGGCAATCTTCCAGGGCTTTCTCCAGACAGCCAATGTGGAAAACTCAGTAACTTCAGCTTTTCGATGGGGTATTTTGCTGAGAGTATATGTCAAAATCAAGTACAGTAGAAGCTGACTTCATTTTTTTTTTTTCCCCCTAACTTTCAGGGGTCTTTGCTTCAATAGAAGAGATTTAGAACCTTTAGATTTAGAAAATTGAGCTCTTGTTTTTGTTTATCTATTCCTTTGGGAAGGTTGTTTTGTGATACCTTGGCAGGATAGGTTCCATGCAGCAATGAAACCACGTATTTTACTGACCTGTAAAAATGTAATTACAAAAAAGTTGTCAACAAATTTTTACTATGGCAAAGTATAAGCTGTGGAGGTTTCTGGTAGTCTGTCACGTGTCTGATGTTCCTCATCTCAGTGGTAGAATCACACATTTCTGCTGACTGTTTCAGTACCTGTGCTGAGCCGTTCTTCCTTTCTTTCTCTCCCTGCTCCTCCAAATTAATGATCATCTTTTCCTGACTGCCAATAAAGTAACAGTACAAAAGAGAGGGCACCAGCCCTGTGAGAAGTATATGATGAGGTATAAGGTCTGTTACTATGGCCACTGTAAGGTGAGGTAGGAATGGTGTGAGATGCAGCAGATGGGAACAGGTGTGACCAAAGTCCAGTATTTGCTGCTGCTTGATGCTATGGGTAAGGATCTACATGGCGTGGTGGCAAAATGAGCAAAAGGCGGCAGGCACTGAAAGGAACTTGGGGAGGGGGTGGCAACAAAAGTTCCAAAACTACGATGTGACTTATACAGCAGTTTTTGTTTTCAAGAGATGCATTAGTTCCCCATATATCACTTCAATCTGTTTGTCAATCCTTCTATCATCTTACTCCATTTTGTTTTACTGAGCTGAGAAAGAGGGGTATTCAGTAAGCAGGGTTTCTCTTTTGTGACAACGCAGCCTTGAAATCAAGCTGAGCTTCTCTTCTCTAAATGGAAAAGATCCCTGAGGTGAAAGCTCCCTTCAAACCAGGTTACTGACATTTACTTAATACCGTCTGTAGCAGGATTATCATTAAAGCTGCCCAAGAGCACATTAATCTCTCTGGATCCGTCCAAGCGCTGGACTGTAATGGCATTTAATCAGAGAAGGCTTTGATTTCTAAAGACAAGTGCAAACACTGAAATATCTGCCTGTGTAACAGTTACTTATTCATGTGCAAGTGTAGCAGAGGATGAGAATGCAGCTGGGATATTGACAGTGAGCTGGAGAGGGGAGTTATGAAGAAATAAGCTGGTATGAATTTTGAGAGAAGTCCAGGCCGTGGTGGGTTGAAAAAGGCACCGCTTGGAAACTGAATCATTCTTGTCTTAAGACATTATTTACGTTCTTGCTTGGGAAGATATATTTGGAGGGTGTGAGTAGAGCAGAGAAGGAAGGAAAAATGGTCTGTGGAGCTCTCAGCGCATTTGTAGCATACCATATAAAGAGGGAAGGAAGCAGAGCATGTACTTCTAAAGAAGACCCAAGTGGCACAAATGCCTCCTCTTTTACACCCATTCTGATTTTATCTGATCAATTTAGAGAGATTTTGTCCATATACAAATTTTGATGTTATCTTTGATCTGCTGCGTAGGTGTCCACCCTATCCATTATTTTAGATACTTTGGTATCTAAAAGCCTGTTTTAGTAGAGGCTGCTGGGTCAGCAGGCTGAGGGAGCTGTGAAGCTTGCACATGTGCACGTGCCGTATTGCTTTCAACTAACCGGCCAGTTCAGGTAGTCAAGTGGAGAGTTTACCACAGAATCATAAAATTACAGAAGTCAAAAGGGACCTTGAGATCATTGAGTCCAAATCCCCTGCCAAAGCAGGTACCCTGTAGTAGATCACGCAGGTAGGCATTCAGAGGGTCTTGAATATCTCCATAGAAGGAGACTCCACAGTCTCTCTGGGCAGCCTGTTCCAGTGTTCTGTCACCCTTAGTGTAAAGATATTTTTCCTCGTTTGTATGAAATTTCCTATGTTCAAGTTTTAGGCCATTACTCCTTGTTCTATTGCTGCACACCACCAAGAAGAGCCTGGCCTCATCCATCTGCCTCCTGCCTCTCGTTAGATATTTCTAAATATTGATCATGTCCCATCTCAGTCATCTTTTCTCAAGGCTGAACACACCAATGTTACTCAGCCTTTCCTGATATGGTAGATGCTTCAGGCCTTTTATCATTTTTGTGGCCCTGCATGGGACTCTTTCCCAGAAATCCCTATCTTTTTTTGAACTGAACACAGTATTTTAAATGTCTAAATGTCACCGGGGCAGAGCAGAGGGGGAGGATCACTTCTCTTGACCTGCTGGCCACGCTCTTTTTAATGCACCCCAGGATACCATTGGCTTTCTTGGCCACAAGGGCATGCTGCTGGCTCATCGCCAGCCTGTGCTCCATCAGGACCCCCAGGGTCTTTCTCTGCAAAGTTCCTTTCCAGCAGGTCAGCCCCTAACCTGTACTGATGCATGAGGTTATTCCTCCCCAGGTGCAAGACTCTGCCCATACTCTTGTTCAGCCTTATCAGGTTCCTCCCTGCCCAACTGTGGCAGCCACTCCTCCCAGTTTTGTACCATCAGCAAACTTGCTGAACATGGACTCTATCCCTTCATCCAGGTTGTTAATGAAGATGTTGAACAAGATTGGACCCAGCACCTGCCCCTGGGGAACACCACTAGTCACAGGCCTCCAGCCAGACTCTGTGAAGAGCTGTGCCAATCAGCCAGTTGTCAATCTACCTCACCATCCACTCATCTGTCCCACACTTTCTAAGTTCGATAACAAGAATGTTGTGGGAGATGATGTCAGACACCTTGCTGAAGTCAAGGTGCACTACCCCTGCCTACCCAGTTGGTGATGACATCATAGAAGGCAAACAGATTTGTCAGGCATGATTTCCTCTTGAT